TGTAAAAGAACACCAACTATCCTGAAGTTAGCAGAGACTTAAGTTCTGTTGCAGATATTCGAAACGACTACAACAACTGAAAGACAAACTTCAAACTCAGGAGAAGATTTGTCAAGCTTTAAGTATAATGTTAAACTTGGTCGAACACAACCCTGTAAAAGTGAACTCATATGTCATTGCACCTCATGAAGTTTGAAAGAACTATTGAAACTTTTTGACAGAGGCAGACGATTAAAACATCAAAGAAATAGAACCCGACATTAGTTGCTGTGGGTCATATAATGTCATTGACAAGATATACGTTATGAAAGGAGGTGAAACGTTGAACTTAAAGTATAGTTTCCCAGACGTCATAAAAATATTTGACGACCACAACATTTCATTAAAATTTATTTGCTAAGTAAAAATGTCAAAACTTCTTGAAAGATGTTTGAAGAAAAATAATATAGACTTTATTTCATGTAAAGGACTTTACACACTTTGAACGATATGAAAGACCCTGTTTTGTTTGTTCGTGTAGACAAAGGAAAGTTCTATGTCTTTACAAAATATTTGAACTTCTTAGACAGAGAACTTCAAGAAACGCCATGTGAAAGTTTAGATGAAGTTCTTCTCCACTTTCAGAAAACTTTTAAATATATATAAATGGCAGAAGATATAATGGTTTATACTATTACGACTAAAAACCCTGATCATATAATTCTATAACAACAAACTTACAAAGTCCTCAAGGACGGTATTGTAAACTAACTTTAAACACAATGACGACTAAAGCCTGTTTGCTCTTTTGACACCAGAAGACTTTATTGTTGTGAATGGTAAAAAATACTCCTTTGAAGATACTTACTCAGATATACCACCAACAGGTTTTGTGACTTATTTAATACTTTAAGTACGGGTGTAACATTGCGCAACTAGAGCAGGTTTCATTATGTTTGGGATGTCCGACTGAGTTTACTATAACGATATGAGCTATAATACAAAACTTATTTCTGGGTTTTTACTACAACAGTTTCCTATAACAGGAAAAGGTGTCATACAAGGAATGTCTATTCCATTGACATTAAGCACACCAATCTTATATATTGTTTCAAATATAGGTTCAAAGTGTTATTCGAATGTCGACAGAAACTATTATGACCAAAGATACTTATGCGTATAACAATACTTTCTCTGCTGGTTTGCCTATTGTTCATTCGAATGCAGAATTTTCAACCTTAGTGAACTCAAACACTTTGGCAAGTATAACGTTGACATTAGTTTGACGCAAACTTTGTTCCTGTAAACTTTTATGTCCTATGTATTTGTCAATGACGGCAGAAAGTTTCGAATTGGAAGATGCAACTGGTGAAAGTATTGTATTACAAGAACAACTTCAACAACAAATAGCTCAAGAACAACAAATGCAACAAATGCAACAAATGCAACAACAAAGTCAAGAATAAAAAAAAATATTTTTTTTTATTTTTATAAAAATGTACAGAATAGATGTTTCAGATTTTTATGACTTCCAAGCATTCAGAAATATGTGTCCATTTCGAGACTATAACAAAGCAGTCGAGAATTTGAAACGTTTAGTCATTTATGTCGACTCTGCCCCAGAATGTTATGTCATGAAAGATGGGATGTAGTCGTTAACAAACCTAAAGCGACAATAGTTTCAGAACAAGAATGTAGACAGAAACTTAAGAAAATAAAAGTTGTACAAGTTGGCATGAAGATGTTAGATGCTTGGGATATCTTATTGTCAAAGTTAGAAGATTTTTCAGTTCGAGGTATAAAGTTCTATACACCTTCTTCCAAACTCTATTCTATCTTCACTGGATTAAATACGAACAAGTAGAATGGAAAGAAAATATTATAGAAGCTTGGTTAGACCATGTCAAGAAATTATATGCAATGGAAACGAAAAGGTTTATGAGTATATCTTATGTTGGTTTGCAAACATCTTACAACATCCAAGTGCTAAAATGAAACTGCTCTCTTATAATTGGAAAACAAGGAACAGGTAAGAACATTCTTTACAGATATCTTGTGCAAACTGTTAGAAGGTTATTCGAACCCGAATATGACAAACTTAGAAAACATCTGTGGCAAGTTTAACTCCTCAATAGAGAATATGAAACTTATAGTTTGCAATGAACTTCAAAGTATAGATACAACAAAAGTTTTAAACTCAGATGCTTTGAAGAGTCTTATAACAGATAAAGTTGGAGTTGTTGAAAGAAAATATAAAACCAAAGAGTTTGTGAAAATGTTGCAAACTTCATTATGGTTTCAAACAATGCTGTTCCGATGAAGTTAAAGTTCCGACAGAAGATATGTAGTTGTTCAGAACGTCAGATTCTCATATGCAAGATACTGAATATTTTGACGCTTTGTCAGAATGTTTGACATCTGACTTTTACAACCACTTGTGTTCTCATATTTCATGACATTAGATATTTCTAAGTTCAATCCAAGACAAATTCCACATACAGAAGAGAGACAAACATTGTTAGAAGCAAACAAGAGTGTATATGAACTGTTCATAGATGAAACTGACTTTGTGTCATTAGATGAAGGTCATTGTACGATTCGTATAAACAATATTGTCAAGAATATGGTTATATGACAGCTTCTAAACGAACATTCTTGGCAAATGTCAAAAGTCTTTTAGATGTTCAGAATTGGTGTATATACAAAGAAAAATTTTTCTGAGTAAATTTAAAAAAAAATATTTTTTTTTATCCGATAGAAAAGATGACAAAATTCATCTCAGTAAACAAGTACATGTCAGGACTTAAAGAAGAACTAAACCCATTCACATATTTGAATGTTTACTTCTACCATTTTGAAAAGTCTTCATTCAGCAAAGTTTGGAACATCGAACCAGTTAAGTTTGCTATTGTGACTAAAAATGGTGCGAAATTTGAAGACTTAGACATAGAAGGTTTGTTAACAGTCAAAGAAAGTTTTGACAGAAGGTTCTCAAACCTTAAAGAAGGCAAAGCATACAAACTTGTTATACCTTATGAACCAAAGAAAGCAGACGCTATGAATATTATGAGTCTAAGATAGTTGAAGTTCAAGGTAAATTGGGTAAAAAGATTTTAGAGTCTAAGCCAGTGTTTGCTCCTAAAGAGGAAGAGAACATTGACATTGACCCAGAAATGTTCTAAAAATAAATTTTATTTTACATGTCAAATTTCTTTTTCTCTGGAACTGGTTCAGGTTCTTTCTTCTCTTCTTCTACTTTCTTTTCTCTCTTCTTCTTTTCTGGTGGAGTTATGTCAAACATTCTCAGAACCATATTTTTGTAAAGTTCTTGTCCTTTAATAGCTCTTCTATTCTGTCTATTTCATCTTCAAGAACAGCGCATGTGTCTTCTTTGCATTCTAAGAAGTTTTGTTGGACTTCATCTCTCCAAGAGGCGTCATCTCTGTCAACAAGTCTTCATTGACAAATTTAAGACTTCTCTGCTTAATGTTTTATGGTTCTTGTCATATTCCCAGAAACAGAACTTTTAAACAAATTCACCTTTCTTGTTTACACTATGTAGATTTTATGGTCGACAGATGTTTTGCTGTCGAAAAGCTTGTCTCGAATATAGATAGCGAAATCGCTAGACATTTTCTAAAAGATAAAAATTTTAATTTTTCTAAAATATTTAGAAAAAAAGTTTGCTGACATTGACAGAAATTTGAGAATGTTTTAAACAAGAACAAGGAGAAGTTAGAAAATGCTCAGATAAAGCCTATACATGACAAGTCTTATTTGCTCATATGTATAACAGGTCTAATTGCACCACCTGGGTCGGGTAAGACTTTCACTTATCTTAAAATGGCTGCACAACAACAAGAACTAATGAGAAGAACCCTTCTATAGGGTAGTCATTTGTAGTACTTCTGGTCAATTTGACCAAACCGTCAATTCGTTCAAAGATATTATAAAGAAGTCTAAGTTAGTATGTATAAAGGATACTGAGTTGTTAGATTGGATAAAGAAGTACCAAAGAAGAGTTTTGAAGTACAATGCTATAAATGAGTATATAAATTCTAAGTTTAAAGACCCAAATGAGGAAATGCAGAGAATATTAGAGAAGAAACACTTCAGAAACAAACAGAAAGAGATAGAATACATTTCGAAGAAATTGCAATCTTACGATTGGAAGACTTACCCTCATAGGTGTCTTCTTATCTTAGATGACTTTGCTTCTCATCCTTTGCTTAAGAATAGAGAACAAGATATGTGTCGAATTCTTAAGAAGCTCAGACACTTTAACATCTCAGTTGTCATTTGTGTACAGACAGCAAAGAGTTTAAGTAAGGATGTAAAGAGAATACTTACTGACATTGTACTTTTCCCCGGATTGTCCGAAGACGATTTCATGGAACTTATGAAAGAGTCCATGGCAGGTAAGTTTGACAGACATGAACTCTGGGAGAAGTATAAAGTCATACAAGACCCTCATACTTCTTTCAGAATTCATATCTACGCAAACAAAGTTCAAATTGTAAAAAGTCAAGCTTGAAAAATGTAAGTGTTTAGTCTTAGTAAGTCTGTTGTGGTGCTGGGGCTGTCGGTTCTTCTGGCTTTGGAAGGCATTCAGGAAGAGGGACGTCAGTCATCCGTTTGTGTCCTGTCGGAAGGAAAAACCTTTCCTGTTGGAAGGAAAAACCTTTCCTGTTGGAAGGAAAAACTTTTTCTGTAGGAAGGAAAAACTTTTTCTGTCGGAAGGAAAAACTTTTTCTGAAGTTCGACCAAAAAGTTCTCAATTTTCGAAAATTTGAATGGTTTACGGACGGACAACTGGAAAATTTTTTCTTGTCGTCGGGAAAAATTTTTTCTGTCGGAAGGAAAAACTTTTTCTGTCGGAAGGAAAAACTTTTTCTGTCGGAAGGAAAAACTTTTTCTGTCGGATGGAAGGACTCGGAATGCCAGAAGGATTTGACGAGGCAATTTACCTAATTGAGCTACTTGAGCCATCTGAAGTCAAGCGTAAAAATAAAGAGTGCAATTTACTCTACTTGTTTGAAGTTGTCAAAATACTCTGTTATTTTTTCCTTTAACAATGGCAAATCTTCTTTGAATGTAAGTATTGTACAACCTTTCATATCATAGTGTGTTTGAGGTAACGTATCTTGAACTATTTGTTTCACATCTTCATTCGGTGTCATTGAAATCGGTAAGTTTTCGCGATAGAACCAATTTCTGTCAGATTTGTAAATCTTAGCAAGGTCGTAAAAGCTTTTGTTGTTTCTTCTGACTAAATGCAACATAACCATATCTTTATCTTCTTCATTTTCCATCTCTTCAGTATAAATCATATACTTATAGTTCTTTTCCTTTCCTTTTGGTACCGAACGTGGTATTCTTTTCTGAATGTTTTTGTCTTTTGCTTCAATGACTTCATCTTTTGCTTCAAGCTTGTTTTCCATCTCTTCACGTTCTGCTTTATATAGTTCATCTAACATCATGAAAATATAACAAGCATAACGAGGTGAAGCCCACATTGCTACGGCATTTACTAAAAGTCTATGAACATAATATCCTCTCAAACCAGGAGCCAAATTCTTGCGATTTTCGTACGGAATCTCTACCCTCGGTTTTCCGAGGGTAGCAAACATATGAGGAAATTCTTCTAAAAGTTCTTTTGTCTGTTGGTTTTCAAACCAATGATATGCTTGCTTTGTAGAACGAAGAGCGTTCAAAATACTTTGCATCTGGTACATATCGTCTTTGACCGAACGAATGAGACGTAACTGTTTGTTATACTGTATGTACTCGTATTCTTCATTTATAGCTTCATGGACTATAACTGTTGTTGTGTTCTCGGTTGTTGACATATCTGTCTTTATATTCCGGATAAAAAAAATATTTTATAAAAAACTAACTTTATTTTTTCTATCTTAAGGAAATTCATGAAATTTGTGCTGAATTCAATAAAAATAAAGTTTAGGCGAAGCCCACATTGCAACAGCATTTACTAAAAGTCTATGAACATACCAACCTCTTAAATTTATTGGCAAATTTTTACGATTTTCATGTGTTTTATGCAAGACCGAAAAAAGTCGGTCTAGAGAAATTTCACTCAAAAGTTCTTGTGTGATTTGGTTTTTGAACCAGTCGTCTGCGTGTTTAGTGTCTGGAGCAAAACATGCTGTCAAAATACTTTGCATTTGGTACATATCGTCTTTGACCGAACGAATGAGACGGAGTTGTTTGTTAAACTGTATGTACTCGTATTCTTCATTTATGGCTTCATGAACGATAGCAGTTGTTGTGTTCTCTGATGTTGACATATCTGTCTTTACATACAAAATAAAAAAATAAATAAAAATAAAACTAACTTTATTTTTTCTATCTTAAGGAAATTCACTGTTTTCATGAGTTTTAGGCGACCCCGAAGGAAGTCGGTCTCGCTGTTCTTCACTGTTTTCATAGAGTTTTGGCGACTAAGGTTTCTTACCTACTCGCTGTTCTTCACTGTTTTCGTACGGAATCTCTTCTCTCAGTTTTCCGAGGGAAGCAAGCATATGCCATTTTACTCAGATTTTTGGTCATTTTTCAGTAAAAATATATTTTATGTTAGCATGTTAGATCTAACACGTTTTCTAACACGTTTTCTAACATGGTCTAAAACACACAAAACTCATGAAATTTCATACGGAATTCAGCAAAAATAAAGTTTATGTTAGCATGTTAGATCTAACACGTTTTCTCACCTGTTTTCTAACCTCTTTTTTCACAAGCGTTTTACATGGTATATGTTGCGATGGTTCATGACTCTAAACAGTTTTGTAGCCTCTATTTCTTCTTTTAGTACATCGAATGTTTTAACAATGCCGAAGGTTTCTTTATATTTCTTCTTGACGTCAGATAGAAGGAAATCTTCTGCTGTTGGATAGTTTTTGTTCAGAAATGTCAACATATCCATTTTATCTTCTGCTGGCTTTTCTGCTTCTTTCTTTAAGTCTGCATAGTCGTTTCTCATACGTTCTATCTCTTTGACGGAGTAGTTATATCTCCTCATTGCTGCTTTACATTTAGAACATTGCGGGTTCATTTTTGCGTTATATTCTGAAACCTTACCTGCTAAAACAACTAAAGCGTCAATGGTTTTCTTCATCTCAAACATAGCGGGTCTTATTTGTTCATTCCATACCTTACCTCTTCTATCTTTATCTCTTATCTGCCATACACATTCAGCAACTAACGAAACAAAGTTGTCGTAGGTCTTAAATTCTTCGGATTTGTAAAGGTCAGAAACATTCTTATATACCATGTCGCAATCTTTGTCCATAACCTTATGGTTGCAATGAAAACCAAGGAATTCATAATTTACCTTTCGTATGAACTTCTTTATTTCTACCGAGTCAGTTGCTTTGACTTCAATTTCGTCGAATTCAGGAATAGTTAGTTTTTGCTGCTGAATTTCAGGTAGTTTAGGCAAATGGTCAATAATGTCCTGCATTTCATAAAGATACTGTTCATTTTCTTCATCTTTCGCACTACAGTCTAAATTACATGTTAAAAGTTCTTGCTTTATCTTCTGGATTTTTGTTTCGAAAGTATATGAAGAAGGAATGAAGCTTTTCATCTCTACTAACATTGACGTAGGATTCATGACTAACGAGTTTGGTGCTGTTGTTGTTTGAACTGTTGTTGTTTGAACTGTTGTTGTGCCGATTGTTGACATTTTTATTTTTTTATACAAAATAAAAAAAATAAAAAAAATAAAACTAACTTTATTTTTTATTTCGGGAAAATTCATGAAAATTCAAGAGGTTAGAAAACATGTTAGAAAACAGGTGAGATCTAACATTCTAACATAAACTTTATTTTTGGGTCCTTTACACTCATTACGAAGAAGTCTTGACAAAACATTTACGAAGAAGTCATGACAAAACATTTACGAAGAAGTCATGACAAAACATTTACGAAGAAGTCATGACAAAACATTTACGAAGAAGTCTTGACAAAACATTTACGAAGAAGTCTTGACAAAACATTTACGAAGAAGTCTTGACAAAACATTTACGAAGAAGTCATGACAAAACATTTACGAAGAAGTCATGACAAAACATTTACGAAGAAGTCTTGACAAAACATTTACGAAGAAGTCTTGACAAAACATTTACGAAGAAGTCTTGACAAAACATTTACGAAGAAGTCATGACAAAACATTTACGAAGAAGTCATGACACTTTTTCATTAGATAACTGTTATTTTTTGACGAAGTGAAGAGTAACACTTCGTCAAAAAAATCCCTGAAATCATATCTAACATACAAAAAAATACAAAATAAAACTAACTTTATTTTTTCTATCTTAAGGAAATTCATGAAAATTCAAGAGGTTAGAAAACATGTTAGAAAACATGTTAGATCTAACATGTTAACATAAACTTTATTTTTGGGTCCTTTACACTCATTACGAAGAAGTCTTGACAAAACATTTACGTTCATGTTTGACAAAACATTTACGAAGAAGTCATGACAAAGCATGTACGTTCATGTTTGACAAAACATTTACGAAGAAGTCATGACAAAGCATGTACGTTCATGTTTGACAAAACATTTACGAAGAAGTCATGACAAAACATTTACGCTCATTACGATGAAGAAGTCTTGACAAAACATTTACGTTCATGTTTGACAAAGCATGTACGAAGAAGTCATGACAAAACATTTACGAAGAAGTCTTGACAAAACATTTACGAAGAAGTCATGACAAAACATTTACGAAGAAGTCATGACAAAACATTCATGAAGAAGTCATGACAAAACATTTACGAAGAAGTCTTGACAAAACATTCATGAAGAAGTCATGACAAAACATTTACGAAGAAGTCTTGACAAAACATTTACGAAGAAGTCTTGACAAAACATTTACGAAGAAGTCTTGACAAAACATTCATGAAGAAGTCTTGACAAAGCATGTACGAAGAAGTCTTGACAAAACATTCATGAAGAAGTCTTGACAAAACATTTACGAAGAAGTCTTGACAAAACATTTACGTTCATGTTTGACAAAGCATGTACGAAGAAGTCTTGACAAAACATTTACGAAGAAGTCATGACAAAACATTTACGAAGAAGTCTTGACAAAGCATGTACGAAGAAGTCATGAAAATTCAAGAGGGTGAAAAAAAATGACACTTTTTCATTAGATAACTGTTATTTTTTGACGAAGTGAAGAGTAACACTTCGTCAAAAAAATCCCTGAAATCATATCTAACATACAAAAAAATACAAAAAATGACACTTTTTCATTAGATAACTGTTATTTTTTGACGAAGTGAAGAGTAACACTTCGTCAAAAAAATCCCTGAAATCATATCTAACATACAAAATAAAAAAATAAAACTAACTTTATTTTTTATTTCGGGAAAATTCATGAAAATTCAAGAGGTGAAAAAAAGAGGTGAAAAAACAGGTGAGATCGCACCACTTCACCTAAACATTATTTTTGGGTCCTTTACGCTCATTACGATGAAGAAGTCATGACAAAACATTTACGAAGAAGTCTTGACAAAACATTTACGAAGAAGTCTTGACAAAACATTTACGAAGAAGTCATGACAAAACATTTACGAAGAAGTCATGACAAAACATTTACGAAGAAGTCTTGACAAAACATTTACGAAGAAGTCTTGACAAAACATTTACGAAGAAGTCATGACAAATTCATGAGGTTAGAAAACGTGTTAGATCTAACATGCTAACATAAACATTATTTTTCAATACTTTTTCAGCACTTTTCCGTAGTTATATATGAAAGACAATTCGAGATAAAAGTCATAGTACAATGGAATAATATGTTGCACACCATTTGTTGTGAACCAAACTTGAAAGTCAGAGAAACTGTTACTAGGTGGTTCGTAGAATTTAGAAGCAAAGTCATAAAAGTCCTTACCAATACATAGAAAACTATTGTTGCTTGAACTGAAACTTGCATGACACATAACATTTTGAGGGTCAAACACGTTTCTATAAACTGTCAAATCTGCTGGTGGAAGTATAAATTTAAATGGACCATCTGGTGGTAATGGTTCGTTCTGGTTTAGTAACCGAAGAAATTGTGCCCAAGAACGTTTGTCTACTTTCCAAAATAAAAACTCTGTATCTCTTGGAGGGTTAATTTCAATCTTTTGAAATGAAACGGTGGAGTTCATCTTGTCATATTCTAGTTTCAGATAGTATGTTCCATTTAGTAAAGAGTCGTATTTTTCTTGAAATTCCCAATAATATTTGTTCATTTGAGTTTGAAAGTCATTTAGAGTTTTCTCAAGACTTTCGTCTGAACGAACTGTAAAGATTCTCATTTCGTCAAATTTGTCTATTAGACCATCAGGACCTTTATACTGCCCATGAAAATATACTGCGAACATAAATGCGTTAGTTCTATTTGAAAACAAAACTCTTCTAAATGCTATTGCCTTTGCATCTGAAGGACTTTGAAGCCAACGAATT